GTTGGGGAGTTGCATTTCATTGAGGGAAACATGAACTCAAGCATGTACTGTGAAATACTGGAGCAGAGAATGATCCCCTCCCTCCGGAAACTGGGTCGCAGGGCAGTGTTCCAGCATGACAATGACCCCAAACACACCTCTAAGATGACCACGGCTTTTCTAAAGGGGCTAAGGGTAAAGGTGATGGACTGGCCAAGCATGTCTCCAGATCTAAACCCAATAGAACATCTTTGGGGCATCCTCAAGCGGAAGGTGGAGAAGCACAAGATCTCGAATATCCCCCAGCCCCGTCATGTTGTCATGGAGGAGTGGAAGAGCATTCCAGTGGCAACCTGTGAGGCTCTGGTGAAATCCATGCCCAGGAGGATTAAGGCGGTTCTGCAAAATCATGGTGGCCACACAAAATATTGACACTTCAGGAACTTTCACTTTAGGGTGTACTCACTTTTGTTACCAGGGGTTTAGCTACTAATGGCTATATTTTGAGTTTTTTTGAGGGGAAAAATAAATTTACACTGCTATATAAGCTTTACACAGACTACTTTTCATTGTGTCAAAGCGATGTTTCTTCAGTGTTGTTTAATTAAACATTATAATGACATCTCTGCAGAAATGTGAGTTGTGTACTCACTTTTGTGACACACTGTAACGTCGTATAATTACTCATAAAGTACCATTACACCTCTAATGAATATGTCAATCTGAACAGAATGTTCCAGAACCTGCTTTGGTTTTTCTGAGGTGAATCACGGTCTAAGTCTGAGGCCTGGTCTCGGGCCCTGAGGTGTTACTTTTCCATTTTTATCTGCATCAGTGCAGCTCGATGGCTGTCAGCTCTGACTCAGACTGTCTGTGCTGCAGCGCAGCATGTGCCATGTCAAGTTCAACAGAAGGTCAATACTTTCAAAAAGCACGTGTTTGTTTTTCTGTTTATTATATCTGTCTTCCTTCCTCCTGCTCTTACTCTTCTGTCTCTAACGCTCATGTCTGGCAGCGCTAACGGAGAAATAAAAACAAATAAGGCTGCAGCTGCACTAATGTATTTACAGTAGTGATTTGGCTACAAATAATTGTAAATCTTTAAACGAATGTGTTACCAAACCACATATTTTAGTCATCAACTCTAAAGGAAACATCCATTTATATATGTATTTGGTTGAAACATATTCATAAGTTCTTAGCATTATGAGCAACATTATAAATCTGACCCTTAAAAGGTGGCTTACGGTCTGCAACCAACCTAACCAACACTAACCAAACCCAAGATTTTACATCTGTCATCAGTCGTCTGACTCCTCCTCCTCCTCTTCCTCCAGAGCTTCTTTCCCAGTTGTCGGGGGTGAGGCGTTCAGCTGGAGGTCAGCTCAGTTCGGGGCCCTCGGCCTCCCAGCTCCAACAGCTACAGATGCAGCTCCAGTTGGAGCGTCAGCAGGCACAGGCAGCACGGCAGCAGCTGGAATCGGCACGAAACGCCAGCTGGAGCAGAGGTCGAGCCAACGCCATCCTTAATCCCAGCTCAGTGGCCGCAAACCCCAACCCCGACGCCAACCACAACAGAAACGCCAGTCCTAACCCCGGTCCTGCTGAGTCCAACACACAGCACACTGCACATAACTCTCAGTTTCTCCTCAGCAGGTAGGACACCTGCATCTAGTCTAGTTTAAAGCAGGA